CCATTTACTGCTAATATTCATGCTATGCATGAGTCTGTTTTGCTAGATCTTGCAAAACTGAAGTGGATTTCTTTTTTTTGAGGTGGATTGCTATTGCACATTTTGCCAGAGATTTTTAATGAGTCTAGTTCTCTCTAGCCTGTGGGGATACAAATCAAATAACTAAAGCATATATTTTAAAAAAGCAAACACTTTGTCAAATATATTCAGAGTTTTTCTTTAAACTCAATGGAAAGCAATGGCAGTAATATAAATGGGACTATTATAGTCTAGAACAGAATGAGGTTCACATCTCAGAGCTGTTAAAAGTAATGAGGGAGAATTAGTTTTTAAATTTGCATATAAGCAGTGTTGTATTTCCAAAGTCAAGAGCAAAAAATAAATTAATTTAAAATACTTGTTCTTATGTATGCATCTGTAATTTAAATCCAACTTCTCTCATTTCTCATGCAGGAAGGCATTGTTGGAATCCTATATTTGCTGCAAATTTTTGTTTCATTTGGTAACTTTGGGGAGGGGGGGGAAATCTCTCATTTATATATTTTTAAACCTATAACAAAATGAGCGATAAGATAAATTCACTTCTACTGTTATGCTGGTTTGTGGACTAGAAGGTCAGCAGATCAAGACCCAAGTACTGTTTGATGGGTTGAGCTCTCATTCTTGCCCCAGCTCCTGCCAACCTAGCAGTTCAAAAACATGTAAATGTGAGTGTATAAATAGGTAACACTTTGATGGGAAGGCAACAGCCTTGGAAGATAGTCATGTTGGCCACGTGACCACAAAAATATCTTTGGACAATGCTGGCTCCTTTGGCTAAGAAATGGAACAAAGCAGTTGTAGTTTTGAAAGAAATCCACAACCATTCAATGGCATGCCATTGGTGTGTGCCAGGGGATGGGGAAGGCCCTGGGACATCAATGTGTATAAATTAATCCATTTAACTTTGTGTTTTTTTGTTGCTTCTAATAGGCACACCTGTTTGATACAAGGCATGGTCTTGTTTCTGAGTTTGCTAGTTTTGCTAGTTTTCTAAGCTCTTTGTATATTTTTGAAAGGAAATGTCAAAAAAATCTGACCTGCTTCTGCAAGAGGATGAATTGGTCTGGTTGTTCTGTCTGATCCAGTGGGAAGTCAATGAGAAAAAAGAATTTTAAGGTTGGCGTGCGGGAGAGAAGAAGCAGAGGCAGGTTAGCTCTATCAAGGTTTTATTGATAACTGTATCTCAGCCGTGGCTAGCCACAAGCTAACAGTAGTTTGCCCCTCTGGGGCAGGAAAGGGCTGTAGAAATTAAGTAACCTCAAAAAAGCTTGTAGCTCAATCTTGTTTTGAGGAGCTGGGGCATCCAGTATGGCCCAGACCTTAGACTCCATAGGGTGAATTCCCACAAAGTCAATATGGTACCCTAGGAAGTCAATTTGGGAAGTTGCAAAAATGTATGTCTTTTTATTTAGCTTCAGGCCAGTATCCTGAAAACACTGGAGCACTTTTTGTAACCGTGCCAAATGTTCTTGTGGGCTGTCAGCAGCAATAAGGATGTCATCAAAGTATGGGATGACACCAGGGATGTTGTAAAGTAAGCACTCCATGATGGATTGGAAAATGCCAGGGGCAACGCTGACACCGAATTGCAACCCCTTACACTTGAAAGCACCCCTATGGGTGATGATGGTTTGGGCCTCTGCTGTCTTATTGTTCACAGGAAATTGCTGGTATGCCTGTGTCATGTCCAGCTTGGTAAAGATGGAACTTTTACCTAGGGAGTGCAGCAGGTGCTGTATGATTGGCACAGGATATGCCAACAAAGGGTTGGAGCCCTTTGTTAATGGTAGATTTGTAGTCTGAACAAATTCGAATAGAGCCGTCTTGTTTCAAGGAGATGACAATTGGGGTTTCCCATTTGGAAAAGTCAATTGGTTCCAGAACCCCTTGGGAAATTAGCTTGTCAAGCTGGGCATCCACTTTAGAACATAATGCCAATGGCACTCTGCATGGCTTGAGGTGTGTAGGAGCCACCTGGGAGTCCAAATTGAGGGAAATAGGAGTGACATTGTAACAGCCAAGCTTGTCCTCAAAAACTTCTGAATAGTTAGCAAGAAGTTGCTCTAGGTTTTGGAGAGTAACTGCATTTACTCCAGACACCTGTAGGCCTAGAGAATGGAACCAGTCCAAACCTAGTGAGCTTGATAGGCAACCATTTACAATAATCAGGGGTAGGTGTCCCTTAAAATTGTTGTACTGAATGTGGAACTTGCCTGTTCCAAGGACTGAAATGGATTGTCCCTGGTAGTCCCTCAAGGCCAGGTTGCAGGGGTCAGGTGATCCTTTCTGATGTCTGGAACCAGGTTCTTCAGAGTTTTCCAGGACAGGAGGGAGAAGGAGGAACTGATATCCACTTCCATTCAACATGGTCTGCCTTCTAGGAGAAGAGCAAGATTAATTTTATTAACGTTGAAACAATAAGATAGTGACTCAGCTCTTGGGAATGCTTTGTTGATGGCATAGCATTCCTCTTTGGGTTTGAAACTTCTTGGCTGGTTCAGATGTTGAGCTGGCTGGTTTGTGTTTCTTGGTGCTTGGCAGATTCTAGCCAGGTGACCCTTCTTTTGGCATTTCAGGCAGACTGCATTTCTGAAATGGCAAGTGGCTCTCAGATGGTTTCCTCCACAGCTCAGGAAAATCAGCTGTGGTGTAAATTATCTTTTGTCAGCAGGGAGGCTTCGTCTCTGCATAAGTTGCGGTGTTTTGAGGCGGTTTACTGCTTCTTCTTCTTCAAAGTAGTCATCTTCAAAATATGTGTCTTCATAGTGCACTATTGAGTTAGGTTTTATCCCGGGAAGGCTGTTTGATTTTTGGATCTCTGCTGTGGATAGGATTGACAGTTCAGCGGCTTGCGCTACCTCGATTTCCTGCTTTAAGCTGAAGTCAGCTTTTGCAATCAGTTGCCTTTGCAGCCTAAGGTCTCTCACCCCACAGATGAGCTGGTCCAGCAGCATATTGTCCAGTTGCTCTCTGAAACTGCATTGAAGGGTGGCCAACCTAATAGCTACCATATGCTCACTAACGGATTCTCCCTCTGCTTAACTTCTTCGCCAGAAGGCATGGCGGCGGGCGATAAATTTTGTTATCATAGAATAATAAAAGTTGGAAGGGACCTTGGAGGTCATCTAATCCAACCCATTGCTCAGGCAGGAGAGTCTACTCCAAATATTGGCCTCTATCTAGGATCGAACTCACAGCCTCTTGATTGTAAGGCAAGAGCTCCACCTCTAGGCCACCAGATCTGCACCAGATCTTCACGCTAGATATGTGTGAAGGTTTCAGGGCATAATGGTTTCCAAGCACCTCCTGCAGCTCTTCCCAGGTGACAGCCTTGACTGTCTGAGGTGACAGTAAGGCGGTGGCCGTGTCAAAAACTGTTGCCCCGCAGAAACTCAGGAAATAGCTTTTTTTCCATGTTCGGTGGAATTTTGGATAAATTAGCAGCATCCATAATGCATTCGAATCTGTTAATGTATGATGTCCACGTCTCAGTAGTCGGATGGAAAGGTGGGAAGTTAGGTGGTGCCACCATTTGCTTCTTTGTTTAGTGACAGCTCTTAGTGACAGCTCTTTGTAGTGACTTCAGCCTTGTGGTGCTCTCTCTTTTTTGCCTCAGAATTGCCTCAGTTCGCTAACATCCCACCTTCATCTCCAGTTTTAAGTTTGGCGCATGGGAGAGAAGAGGCAGAGGCAGGTTAGCTCTAACAAGGCTTTATTGCTAACTTGTATCTCAGCTGCGGCTCTGTAGTTATCCTTAAACCAAACAGTGTTGCTATAAAATACATTTAGATATACCTGTTTTTCTTTTTCTCATCTCATGCCATATAGTTATTGATTTACTATTTCCTACTCTTTCACTGTGTTTTGCGTAACTTTGCTTAAAGAATAGCTTACCAGGTATATGCTTTTAAAGTTGTGATTTACTCATTATACCCATGCTGATTAAAATGGATAAGCGTTTATATATTGATTAAGCACTGATATTTAAAAGTACATAAATTAATGTAAATACTATTTCTTTGTTGATCCCAAGAAAACAAAAGTAAGATATCTTGGGAAGGAGTGCAAACTGACTGAGCATCGGTGCACCTTCCCCTTCACTCTTACAACTGCCTCATACATTCATACAAGGAGAATGAGATGCAAAGTTGAACAAAGATGTTCACTAATTGTTCACTGCTCACTAATTGTTTTATTAACCTAATTATTTGCATAAGCATCAGATACAGTTAGTTAAAGTTCGTTAAAAGAGATTTTGAGAAAATTCAGAATAAACTATCAAAGAATCTGATGGTCTTTTTGTGTCTTCAGGTATATAAAACAATTACTTGAAGGCTTCTGGCTGGAAAATCATCAAGATATAGGCACTCCCTGAGCTAAGAACAAATTCTGCCCATCTTTATGTCAAATTCATACTTAAATCAGTTTTCAACTTTCACTTTCCAAACATTAGGGATGCTCAAAAGTTGTGACTGAAAATTTGCAAAGATATTTTGGTTATTTTAATATAATTTAGATGTGCTTAGTAGGTAACTACATACATTTTTAACATTTTGTTTGTTTAATTTTTAACCCATATTTCTGCAAATCTGGGTTGAACAATAACAATATGTCTTTTATAAAGTTTAAATTTTATGAAAATTTTGGTTTTATACCATAAAACTAAAGTCAATTCAGGAAAAACCCACTGGAATTAAATATCCCACTGTCCTAAAGGGAAACTGATCTGACTCAAAATGGCAAATAACATTCTTCTTTCTCAAGCCAATGAACTGCTAAAGCTGTGCAATGTTTTGATGAACTACTGAAAACAGGGTGTATTCTGCATTAAAAATGCATATACTGTTCATGAGTCTTTTTTTAAAGGAAACTTTATTTACAAGAATTAAAAACATACAAATTTAAAAATACAAAAACAATAGTGTGTAAATAACACATTCCTCTTTACATTTAGTATCAAAAATGATAAGTCCTAATAGTCAGTGATACTTATTGCATTTTCATTTACTATCACATCTTAGTCTCTAAAAAACTCACAATACTCTACTAATCTTCTCATTGGTTTATAACTATTATTTAATTAATAATACATTCATATTATTTAAATAATGAATACAAAGTAAATATATAATGTAAATATATAATGATGATAATGTAAGAGAAAAGAGGATTTAAAATCTGTGTTATTCTTATACATTTCAGATAGACAGCTGAACATAATTTGTTTCTTGGTTCATTTACATGTTTTCCCCTTATAATCTACCCAACTGTACCATTTATCCCATATCCTGTAGTAATCTGTATCTTCCTTCCCATTGATTTTGAGCATGAACCTCTCCAATTGGGCACACTTATATGTTTTTTGAATAGCAACATGTATTGGTGGTACATATGGTTTCTTCCAATATTGTGCTAATGAAAACCATGCCACTGTTAATAAGTGGATGGTCAGATATCTTACTTTAGAGGTATAATCCCCTTTGATCATTCCCAACAGGAACAATTCTGGTTTCCACTCCAGCCCATGCTCTATGATTTCTTCTATCCACTCTTTTATTTTTAACCAATATTCCTTTGTCTCAGGACAAGTCCACCATAAATGAAAATAAGTACCAAATTTCCCTTTGCATTTCCAACAGTATGGGTTTGTTGTCGGAAATATTTTGGCCAATCGAGAGGGTGCCAGATGCCATCTATACATCATTTTATTACAGATTCTCCTTATGTGCTACTGATTTAGTTAATACGAGATTTTTTTTGCCAAATTTCTTCCCAGTCGTTCAGATCTATACTATGTTCATGAGTCTTATCAAGCATTGTGCAACTTCAATAATTTGTCAATTCAAGAAAGAAATTTATCATCCACTGTTTTAAAGGAAATCACATTGCCGGCTCCAACTCAAAATATCAGTCAACTTTCCACCATTTTAGAACTGAAACAAGTCAGCCATTCATTGTTTTAAATACTGTGTCAGCTATACAACATTTTCAATTCTGTAAGAAGTCAGCCATTTGCAATTTTAAATACTGTAACAAGTCAGCCATTCCTCATTTTAAAAACTGTTGAAAGTCAGACTATCCACAATTTTAAATATTGCAACAAGTCAACCATCCGCTATTTTAAATCCTGTAAAACACTGTGTGTGTGGGGGGGAACACTTGCATCATCATAGCATTGTCATATTGGGACTTTTTTCCTCTTCACTAAATTGGGTGGGGGCAGGGCTACATGTGACACATCCGGCCTGCAGGCTGCGAGTTTGACACCCCTGCTGTAACAAGTCAGCAGCCCACCTTTGATTGATGTATCAAGTCAGCTGTCTATCATTTCAAATATTGTAACAGTAGAGAGCCACTTTAAGAATGTAAAAAAAAACCTGTCCCTTTTAGAAATTAGGACTGGCCAAACTACTTGATACATTGCAGATAAAACAGGTTCATTTTCAGCTAATGAACAAAGCAAATGTTCAAGTACTGGAAAGCACTGAGAATGTATCTTACCCCATACTCATTCTGATGTTTTTCCCTTGCAAATGTTCTTTTTATTTTGTTCGGATTACAATGCTGTTTCAAATCCCAAATGCTCACTTATTATTGTATGATTTTATTTTTACAATGTAACTGAACAGATGGTTTTTTTCCCCTAAACCAATCAAATGTTACTCAAAAATGATATTTCATAAGGCAACTGGACGTCCTTGGTTTTTTTCTTGGAAAACTTTCACTTGTGATCCAAGATACTTCTTCAGTCCTGGAAGCTTCTTGAACTGAACTGAAGTTTTCTTTTAGTTTGAAGTTTCATTGTTGTGTTAACTATTAAAGTAAATGTAATCTGTTTTGAGATTCTTTATTTCTTTTGTAAAATTAAAAAGGGAATCCTTTTTAATTGAAATGTTTCAAATAAATTGAAATTAAATTATCTTCCTTGTCCCAATAAGATAATTGGGGTTTAGCATATGAATATATACTTTCTAGAAGCCACACTTGGCTAACACAGGTAAGTTTATCTCCATTTTGTAACCAGCAATTTCATTTGCATCTAGTTGTCTTTAAGTTGAACATTATTAATGCAGGGGCTGCCTGTATGTTAGTGAAACCACATTGGCTAGCTGTACAAAATGAGGAAAGGCAGGTCTATATTATTTCCATTATGATTCTCTTTTTATTTACATTTCATTGCTTACAAGGGAACAGATTGAGACCACAAGTGATAAAGTTTATATTAAAGAGCATCCTATCCTATCCTTCATCAATTCCAAAGCCAAAAATAATCGCAGATGTGATTGTGGGGCCATGTTCTATTCATGTCTTTAGACATGTTCATGAAGAATCAGGATTCTGTCAAATCTGAATTACCTTATTAGGAGAATAATTTTGTGGAAATACATCATATAACCAGATATAAATCTTCTTACTCATCCTTCCCTAACAAGGAGCAACAAAGTTCTGCATCCTTATCCAGCTATTGCTGTGAAGCAACAGCAAGATCTAATGTACATTGAGTTAGGTAAGTTGGGTCTAAGAATAGTTGGGAGTGGATTGTATAATAAAAGCAAACATAAATATAAAGTAACCAATTACCATAATAAAGATTTTAATTTCGTTGCCTATAAGCTAATGTCTATTACAGCAATCAGAAGAGAAAATGAGGAACAAATATTTCTGATCTCAGATTGCAGTAGTATCGCATTATTAGATGCCTAGAGTACCCCTATGGCAAAAGAGTTGGCAAATGAATTTAATAATAGAATAATAGAATAATATTAGAATAGAATAATAATAGAATTTAATAATAAAAAATAGGAAATAAAGTTATGGTGACAGCACAGATATTTCAATTCATATTTATGTTATGTACACTTTTTCTTTGCGGGTACTTGTAGGTCACTCAATATCTTTGAAATGGAACAAAACTGAAGGGAGAAAAATCAAAACTCTATTCTTTTTTAACGAATGAAGTCCAACACTCTAGTTTATTGTAACTGACCGGTGAACTGACCGGAGCTGGGAATACACAATTCTGCCCATCAATAGTGGGGAAAACAAAAACTTGTACAGTATGGAAATCATGCTTAGACTTCCGGTGGTGGCATGAGGTTGAGCGGCACAGGGAAATAGTGCTCTGCTTCTCATTGTCGAGTTTCACTGTTCCGGTGGCCATCCAAGGTGAAATCGGTCCTGGGGGGGATCGGTGACAGAGAGGGGAACTTTTGAAGCTGAAGAGGGAAGGTGCAATCCCCAATGGTGTGATCAGAGGAGCCCTCAAAACTGGCCCTGAAAAGTTGGATCTTAATGGCCGATCCAGTGACCAGATGATCCACAAGATAGGAAAGGGAAGCGAAGAGAGAGTACAGTGTGAAGAAGTGGTGTGAGTAGTGAGAGTGGAAGAGCTTGGAACTGCCAAAATGAGCCCAGAAAGAGACAGTGAAAGCTCAAAGCGGCACCTGGACAGTGAATACAGTGAGGAGAGCAGATAAAGGAGAGGATGAAAGGGGTGCCAGCAATAGTGAAGGAAAGAACAAAGAAGTGATAGACTATATACGAATTAAGAGAAGAGGGGAAGTGAAAGTGGACTGTTTGAAACGGGGCTATTGAAACTTTTGAGCTCCTAAAAGAATAACATTATTGCAGCAGAAGAAGAAACAAAGAAGCAGATAAAAAGACTGAAAAGGAAAGTGACTCTGACAGTGCAAAAAATTGAAAGCTGGACATTTTGAAGAAGACAGTAAAAGTTAAACCTTTAAATGCGCAGCTTTTAACATTACAGTAAGACTTAAGCAATCCGGTTGGAACCTTTAGAGTAACCTTTGCTGAAAATTAATGGACAATAGTGATTATAATATTTTTTGCCTATATACTTAAAAATACTATGATTAAACTTTACTCCTATTTTCTTTTCCTCTTCCTTTTCTTCTTCCTTTTTTCTCTTTCTCCTTAGTGATTATATTATACTATAAAATACTTAAATACTTGAATACATATTGATTGATTTATATGGTGAACAGAGTGTAAAGAAGAATATATACATATAGAGAAAAGTGACTGTTTAAGTAATGTATATTATAACATAAGTCAAATCACTTAATATAGATATTTTCTAAGAATTATATTGATTGACTCATTCTAGGAATTGTTTTGTTTTCCCTTATTAGTAAACTTTCATTGCTATCAAATGTATTGGAAAATAGTATAGTAACTTTATAAATTTAAATTGACTATCAGTGACAAAAACCCAATTCTATAAATTTAATTGCTAAATAATCAATTGTTTGAACATTTTATTATTAAATGTATTAAAGTAATATAAAGTATTAAGGTATAAACAAATAGAAGTATATAAGAATACTTAGAAGTAATACATTGGCAAAGAATTAGTATAAATAGCTTTGGAGATTGGGATTGATTTGTAAAACTGTATAGATTAATTAATTTTTGAAATTTTCTGAACCAATTAGGATTTAATACAAGATATAGAGGGGTAGACTACAGGGTAGAATAAGGATTGTGACAGAAACTAGAGAAACAGTGAGCATTGAATGGTGTTGTGGGATAAGATAGAAAGAATATAAGGACAACAAAATAGAATACTACAAGAAATGACAAGCATCATAACAATGGTAGTGAAGACCGTGAAGAAACCCACTCCAGCAACAGCCACAGTGATACCGTCCCCATCTGCACAAAGATCTATAGAAGGAATGTTTACAACAGATAAAACAGCAGCCACAATGAACACACAGACCATGCAAGCCACTCTGTTAACATTACAAGAAACAATGATGAAGTTACAGGAAAGCATGACTAGGAACCATGGAGAAATGAAAATAGAGATGGAAGAGGTGAAAAGAGAAGTGAGAAAGGATATTCAGAAGTTGGATGAGAAAGAAATCTTACAAAAGAATGACCAAAGACTCTGAATGATTGAGAAAAGAACAGAAAAAACAGAACAGAAATTAGAGTCGGTAGATCAAAGAATGCAAGAAAGGACAAGTAGAGAACTCACTGATCCAATTGGAGATGGAGAGGGCCTCGTTCTACCTATGTTTTCAGAATGTGGAAGAGACGAAGGAGGAAGATTTAACAGCAATGATGGCAGAGACTATCACAGAGGCACTCCAAAGAGTGAAGAGTGAGATAATCAATGAATTAGATGAAGTCTACCAAGTCTACACAAATTATGCCAGAAGATTTAGATTGCCAAAAGAAGTTCACGTCCCTTTCACATAGAAAAAAGTGAGGGATATAATCTACAAAATTACTAGAGATGAACCTATGATATATAAAGGAAAAGAGATAACGTTAAAACAAATCCCAAAAAGAGTTCATGAACAAAGGAAAGAATATCGCTTTCTGGCTTCCCGACTCAATAAAAACAATATACTATTCAGATGGATAACACCAGAGGGAATGTTGGTGTTATGGCAAGGGAAGAAGGTTAAGATAGACACATTGGAGAAAGCGCAAGAATTCCATGCACAACTAACAGGCACAGAAGAACCCGGTAGCAGCAGAGAAGAATTGGAATCGGCTAGTCAACAATTGGAAAAGAATGGAAAAGGAAGAGGAGGAAGGGAAGAAGGGAGAAAGACCACAAGAAGAAAACCGAGTAAGAACAAGAGCACAAACAGAAGCAAGGAATAACAGGAACTAATCTGTAAAGGCAAAGAGAGAAAATGGAAAATAATATAAACAATTAGGAAAACTGTATGCAGCATTAGCGGAGGGAAAAAAAGAGAGGAGTAGGAATATGTTAGAGAAGGAATAGAGGCAGAAGATACAGATTCAGTGGGGAGAACATTAATATTAGAAGTTGTATGGGAATAGACAAAAATTTTATTTGTTGTAATATGCGCTCCTAACAAACAAGAAATGTATTACAAAAAAATACATTAAAAAAATTAGAATTAGGCAAAGAAACATTTGCATAATAGAAGATTTCAACATAGTCTTGGACACAAAAAAGGATTACCAAAGTACCAGTAAAAGAAAAAGAAAAAAAAGAACAACTTTCCAAAAACATTTTTAACATGGCAAAAGAACAACATTTAATTGATATTTGGAAAACATATAACCTAAAAGAAAAGCAGTTTACCTTTTATTCTATTCCCCACAAATCATGGTCGAGAATTGATATGGTGTGGATAAGTAAAACCCTAATGAAAGTCATAGTGAAAATAGAAATAGCACCAAATGTGTGGGCAAATCACAACCCTATACTAGTAATATGGAAAGGCCAATCAAAGAGGAAGATGGACATTGAACCCACAGACTCTGAGAGATAAAGAATATTTAGCAAAATTTAAAAAAAAGAATTAGAAATGTTTTTTGAAGTAAATAAAAAAGAGCACACTTCTTTACAGAATCTGTGGGATACAGTGAAAGCCTACTTAAGAGGAATAAAAATTGCATATAATGCCAGAAAGAAAAAAGAAAGAGAAAAAGAAAGCAATGAGTTACAGAATAATATTAGAAAATTGGAAGGACAAGCGCAATTAGCACCAGAGAATGAGCAAATTATAGGTAAATGTAGTTTAGCCAAACATAAACTGAACATATTAGAACAGGAAAGAAATTTAAGAGCATTGAAATTAGTAAAGCAATTATTTTGGAAATGCAAATAAGCCAGGAAGGTGGCTTGCATATAGGTTAAGGAAGGAAAAAGAGAAGAGATGGATTCAGCAATTAAAATATAAGGAGGGAAAGATACAAAACAATATGGAAAAGAAAAAAGAAATAGTATTGGAATATTTTAGTGAACTTTATAAACAAGAAGATATGAGTAAAGACTCAGAAGATATGAGTAAACAGTATCTAGAGGAAGAAAATATTCCAATACTAGCAGAAGAAGAAAGGGAAAGATTAAATGAAGAGATCACTAAGGAGGAACTAAAAGAGGCAATTAGTAAACAAAAAAACAATAAACCCCCCGGAACTGATGGATTACCCGCAAAATTATATAAAACTTTAGGGGAAATATTTGATCCAATTCTTTTAGAAATTTATAATGAAATACTTACAGGGGCAGAGCTACCAACGTCATGGAGAGAAGCATATATTACATTAATACCAAAGGAGGGTGCAGATGCCACCCACATAAAAAATTATAGACCGATTTCTTTATTGAATGCCGACTACAAAATATTTATGAATATAATGGCTGAGACACATACATACAGATCAAAATGGTTTTCTTCCAACAAGACAACTTAAAAATAATACACAGACAGTACTAGATATCCTGGAATACTCCAAGGCACATCCAGAAAAACAGGCTACACTAGTTTTTCTGGATGCTCAAAAAACTCATAAAGTAAATTGGGAATTTATGAGGCAACAAGTAAAGGAAATGAAATTCGGGGACAAATTTGAAAAAAATGTTAGAGTCAATATATTCAAGCCAAAAAGCTCGAATAATAATTAATGGAGAAATGACAAATTCATTTGAAATAGGAAAGGGAGTCAGGCAGGGATACCCACTTTCACCTCTGCTCTTTATCACCACCCTAGAAATTTTGTTGGGAAGAGTTAGACAGAATTTGGAAATAAAAAGATTAAGAATCAAAAAAGAAGAATACAAGGCCCAAGCATTCACAGACAACCTTGTATTCTTCATAGAAGAACCAATAAAGTCAGGACCAAAGTTAATTAAAGAGATAGAGAGATATGGAGAAGTGGCAGGTTTAACAATCAATAAGCATAAAACCAAAATGATAACAAAAAATTTAACAGAGAAACAAAAAAAGAAATTAGAAGAGGTAATTTTTTCCCTCCCCCTCCCCCTTTTCTTGAACTGATGCTTTTTCACATCTTATGGGGGAAAAATAAGAGTTTCTGCTGAACCACAGACAAATTAACCTGATTGAAGTCTTTTGCATGAAGAATAATTGCTTTTTTGGTTGTTGCATTACATACATATGTTGTAACCGCTTCGCTCAGGAGAGAGAGGGAGGAAAGCCCGAGGATCAACGGCCGGGAGGATCGCTGAGCGAGAGCGCTCCAACTGTGGCTTTTTCCCTCGACTTCGAGTGTTTTCCCCTCGACTGCTGAGTGGGAATCTGACTGGAGGAGACGCCGCTGCCGCTGCCGCTACTGCCGCTTCGCTCCGGAGAGAGAGGGAGGAAAGCCCGAGGATCGCCGGCCGGGAGGATCGCTGAGCGAGAGCGCTCCAGCTGTGGCTTTTTCCCTCGACTTCGAGGGTTTTCCCCTCGACTGCTGAGTGGGAATCTGACTTTTCCCAGGAGTGACCCAGCCCAGAGAACGATCATCCTTGGAGTCGGTGAGATTAATCCCATCCTTACAAGGGCGGTGAGCACTAGGAGTCTGTCCCCGGAGGCTTGCAGCCAGGGTGTGGGGCAGACTGCCTCCTCCCTCCCGCCCCCACTTCCCCCTTCCCTCTTTTCTCTTCGCCAAGTTGCTAATCCGGACTCCATCTTTTGGAAGGACAGTAACTTTGGACTTCCAATAAGTAGGGAAGTATTGTGATAACTGAACTCCTGAGAAGATTGGAAACAATTTTATTCCCTGTGATAGAAGCAGAAGTATATTGAGGCCAGGAGTGATAGAAGCAGAGGTATATCGAAGCCAGGAGTGAATGCTCAATACAAATCTGAGTCTACACAGTAAAAATATAAACTGTTAGAATTACCAGTGCAAGACGTGCCTCTTTCTCTTAAAAGCAACAAACTTTGAAAGTGTATTCAGTTAACTAGGAGGGGCCCAGAAATCTCATTCATCAAGGGAAAACAAAAACAAATAGTTTCCTGTGAGCTGTTCAATTTGTCTCTGCTGAATCAAGGTCTGCTTTCAAAAAAGGAGAGAAGATTGGTTGGTTTCCTCTGTTCTTAGAAGTGAAGCCCTTTCCTTCACTCGGATAAAAACCCTTTGAACATTGTGTTACAACTTCCTGTTTACAGAGTAATAGCGATCTGCTATTCAAAGAGCAATAAATTCCTCTCATTCAGTCAACTACAGCTGCTAGTAAAACAATTAACCCGTTCCTTGCAGACTCTTAATACTACCTCATTACTTTAATCAAACACTGATTAATTCACTACCTCAAAACTTTCAACTTTTCTACCTCAGCACCTATATCAACGATTAGATAATCAATTTCTATAAAATATTTTATTAATGGTTTAATTGATTTATTGTTTTAATTGATTAGTGTGATTAGAGTGTTTAGTGCAAATAGTGTGATTACTGACTAGTTTAAAAGATCAAAATTCATGTAATTTAATTGAATAGTAAAATCAATGATTTAGTGAATTTAAATGAACAGTGTGATTAATGATTAGTGTAATTAATTGATTAGTGATTAGAGTAATTAATTGATCAGGCTGACTGTTGCTCAGGAATATTATCTGACTTGATCAGACTGATTGTTGCTCAGGAATATTATCTGACTTGAGAGATTACTGCAATTGATTGTTTGATGTAATATTGCCTATATAGATTACCCAAAATTGTTCCTTTAATTAATTCAATCAACGTACTATTTTAACAAACCTACCATGCCAAAAAGAAAATCCTACGCCAAACCACAACCTAAAGAGAAGATAATCCCCACCAATGAACCACAAGACTCCTGCACATGCCTTAAATGCTACAAAAATCTAAAGGATAATGAAAACTCCATCAAATGTTCTCTGTGTAAAAAATACGCTCATCATGACTGCTTGGGATTACCTGAGCAAATGATTCAATACCTAGAATCATCCAATGAGTTTCCATATTTCTGCAAATCATGCAGACCCAAACTGGATCTGTCTGAAAGAGTTGATACCATCGAAACCATTGAAAGATCCCCTACCATCGAAACCATTGAAACATCCCTTAACACCATAGTAGCATCCCTGGACACCATAAAAGAAAGAATATCCAACCTTGAAAAAAAAGACACAACGCAAAAACCTGAACATCCAATAGCTACAAACCACATCTCTACCCAACAACCACAATCCGATCCAAAACCCAATCCACAAATAAACACAACCCAGACAAATATTGATATCCCAATCCTCATCAGAGAAGCCATTGAGCGTGAACGGAAACGTCCAAACGCCATCTTATTTGGTCTAGAGGACATCAATGTCAATGATGACATCACAAATGTCCGAAACATCATCAGAGATTATCAAGCATCAACCATCTCTGCTGATGAAATACTTGACATTTCCCGCATCGACCGAGAGCTCAAAAATAGAGACGGCTCTGTGGCCCCACACTTGTGCAGGGTCATTTGCAAAAATGAATCAAGCAAACGTAAATTCATTTATACTATAAACTCACTCGCCAAAACCAACACCAACCATAAGAACCTCCGTTGCCGCCCTGACCTAACCATACAGCAACATGCCCGCTCCCGTGCACTCCGCATTGAACTCAAAAACTGTCTAGACAATGGAGAGAAGGACCTGTACATTGACTACCATGCTGACTGTATCAAAAGTAAGCCACGCAACCCAATACTCAGCTTCTACCCTCAACCACAACCCTACCTCAACCGATCCACCATCACCCAAGACTAGGCACGCACGCCCCCAACTACCTCAATTCCAACTACTGCCGGCCTTAAATGCAAACTACTCAATGCAAGAAGCCTCGTGAATAAAATACCTGAATTTCTCATCCTCCTAAATATGGCTATCTTCGACATTATATTTGTCTGTGAAACATGGCTCAATGCATCTCTCCCTGACTCCATTACCACAGTAAGAGACTATCATGTTTACCGATCAGATCGTGAAAATCGTCGAGGAGGTGGTGTTGCTATATTCTATAAAAAATCCTTACATCTAAAAAATATCCAAGTTACCCAGGAGCTTGCTCTTCCTGAGACCATCATCTGTGAACTATCCTTAAATATCACAATTCGATTCTTACTATGTTACAGAGCACCTGATTATGACATCGAACATGTAAACAAGCTAAATACATTACTAACATGGGCTGCATCCTGCCCATACCCTTTTATCTTTCTTGGTGATTTCAATCTACCTCATATTGACTGGACCCTAAATGATTGTACAACTGAAATCATACACACAACCTTCTACAATACTATTACAAATCTGGGACTGGAACAACTAGTAACCAACAACACTAGACTAAACAACTGCCTCGATCTCATCTTCTGCAATAGTTTGAATTTAATTTACGGAATACAAACTAAAGAACCCTTTTCCAGTAGTGATCACAATATGATTGACTTTTGTCTCAACATACGTCCACACAAAAATCACCACAATGATGTAATCCCCAATTGTAACTTCAAAAAAGGCAACTATGATCTTATAGACAACGATCTCTCATCCCTGGATTGGCAATCTCTATTCACTGGATGCAATACTGTTGAAGACCATTACAACATATTTTTACTTGAAGTCAAAAGAGTCATCAAACTATATGTACCAACAACAACTCCCAAAACAAAACAAAAAAGCAGAGTACCCATATCAATAAGGAAACTTCAATCCAAAAAGAGATCACTCTGGAGAAAAAACAAATCTGGTCACGTTGCCAATTTCAAAAACTGATACAAAAATTTATGCCACCAGATAAAGACCGAATGCACCAATTATCACATTAAACAAGAGGAAAACCTTCTAAGCACCAATTCCACCCGTGCTTTTTACAATTTTGTAAACAACAAACTAAAAGACTCAAGGTCCATCCCTCCCTTGATAGGACCTGATGGTAAAGACTGCAACGACGACACCATTAAAGCCAACATCTTTAACACATTCTTCGGCTCAGTATTTGTAAACAGCAATGGATCATGCCCAGTATTTCCTAGCCGTACCACAGATAACAATAATGATCTAATACATATCGATTTCACAGAAGACAATGTTGAAAAATCACTACGCAATCTAAAACCATCTCTATCTATTGGACCGGATGGAATATGTGCCTACTTCTTAAGAAAGCTATCCACTGCCATAGCCAAACCTCTAAGCATAATCTTTGAAAAATCTTTCAGGACCAGCTCCTTGCCTAACCTATGGTCACAAGCCACAGTCATCCCCATCTTCAAAAAGGGAGACCCAAGCCTAGTTGAAAATTACAGGCCAATCTCCTTATGCTGCGTCACCTGTAAAGTCATGGAATCAATTTTTAACCAATCCATCATCCTCCACTTAGAGACAAATAACCTACTCTCCAATAAACAATTTGGTTTCAGAAAAAAACTATCCTGTAATCTACAACTCTTACACTGCAAAAACATATGGACAACACAACTCAACCAGGGCAAAGCAATAGACGCAATCTACATAGACTTCTGTAAAGCCTTTGA